ATTGGCATGAAAATTCCAAATTAATCAGTCTACATTAACACATAGGAGTGTGCCATACATGTGCACAAGATGTAAACAGGCCGAGAAGGGGCATCAATATGCAGAAGAACATGCTACGATGGCATTTATATCCACACTTCTATGATGGCTTATAAACACTGGCTATTTGGGCCCAATACCTCTCTAGAAATACAGACTTAAACAAACAAAAGTTTGACCCCTGCAGAGGTGGTGTTACTCTGCAGGCCAGCTGTTTTTAAAAACATGATAAGATGCTTATCTGCCTGGTGCCTCAAATCCTCAAACATGCCTTGTGAATGGGTAATCTCCTACAAGTTTTGGGGCTTTAACAAGGTAAATAAGTAGGTGGGCTGTGAAAGTAAACACTGCATTTCCTCCCAGGCTCATCTTTGGCTCCAAAATTCCACCCCCACCACCACCACTCCTTTCACTAGCCCCAGCCTTCCCTTTCCCAAGCTTGGTCTCTTGTACCTTGTAAAAGTACTAAAATTGCAAAGGAGACATTTTTAATTATAAGTACTACAGTAATGAATTCAAGTACACTCGTTTATCATAAAGGGCTTTCCCATCTGTCTCTAAAGTATACTTAAAAAGGCTGTGTATTTGATAACATTAGCACCAAGCATCTTCTACATGTTAATGTTTCAGCGTTTTAGATGTTCGCTCCCCCCTCCCCCCCCATGCTTAAAGACAGAATGGTGGCAGTTCCAGAAACACATTTATCGCTGTGTTTGGGAGTGCCTGTGTGGTCTCTTCCTAATTTATTTGCACTCCAATCCTCGGGGATAGCTTCGCAATCCCCGTAGGCTAAGGGAGATTAGAGATCGGGGTTGTCTGCTTCTCCCTGCCCTCACAGAAAAGGGAAAACAACTTCCCCAAGTCCCACAAGTTCTTCTGGCCACTGTACAAATTGTTCTTGAGCATGGAGGGTTTCCAAAAGCCCTAATTAGCAACTCACAGCAAACATTTCTTTGCATTAGCTAATGATCCGGCTACACTTGTAAGCAAACAGAACCAACATATCTAATCAATGCTGAAAAACCAACCAAATGCCTATTAAACATCTGGATGTAATTTTCTAGTTAGAACAAAATGAAAACATATGCAGGTTCCTTTGATCTCCGTCTTAACAACAAAAAAAATGTTGATAAAAAAGCATACTGGTCAGTCAATGTGTCATTTTCATAAAGTCAGCTCGTTTCTCTTCAAATGCTCCCAGTTTAATTTAGTTGGTTTCCTGCAATCTCTAATTTTACCATATTGTGTGAAACCACAAGAGATTCTTTGGATGTGATTTTATTTGAGGTTTTACTGCTGCATGGATCTGCTACTGATTTTTTTCTTCTTCTCTGCTTTCTCCCCTCCACCCCCCATGCCCACCCTATCCTTTTTTTTGGTTAACGGAGTGGGGGGAAAAGGTTACAATGCAATGCCAGGAAAATTTCTTCAGGACCCTACATTCTTAGTTTTAAGAAACTCCCAGTTAAAAAAAAAAAAGTCAAATGAGGAAATGTATATGCAATAACTCACAGTTAAAAAGAAGAGAAAATTACAAAATTGATCTTTTAAAAATTGACATAATTATTATTTCAAATAAAAAGTAATAGATTTAAAAGACGATGCATAATTTCTATGAGCAGCCCACTTTTCCTACTGTGTCTAGTACTTACACTATATGTAGCATCTAGTTTTTGTAGTTGCTTATGCTATTGATGAGCTGAAAATTTGATAATCCGTCAAATCCAACAAATGAATGAAAATATACCCACATATGCACCAGTGATAAAACAATCTGATTTCACTTATATGTGGAATCTAAAGAACTGAATCAACGAGTAATGTATACAGAAATAGTCTCAGAGACAGAGGAAAAACTGATGACTGCTAGATGGGAGGGGGTGGAGATGAGGCAGAAGGGGAAGGGAGGAGGCAACATAAATTGGTAACCACAATATTGCCACAGGGATAGAAAAGACAGTTTGGGGAATATAATCAATAATGTTGTAAATATTTTTTAGGGGGCCAGGTGGTCTCATGTCTTGTCAGGGAGACCACTTCATGGATGGTGTAGAGGCCTGACCACTGCACTGTACATCTGAAGCTGCCGTTGAATAACATTATATGTCAAGTATAATTTAACACATATATAGTCATGGGATGTGGAGTATGGTGTGGGAATGGAGTCAATGGAATTGTAATAGATATGTATGATATTGGGGGGGGGGGGGCAGTTGATGGGGGAGGGGGGTTGTCACTTTGTGAGGGATGAAAAGGATAACTAGTGCATTGTTTTGTACACCTGAAACTAATAAAAGAAAACTAAAAAAACAAAATAAAACAATCTGACAATCTTGTTGTTTCTTTTGCAGAGGATAAAAAAGAAACTATTTTCAGAGACAATTTCCTATAGATGTGGAATACTTAATATTATTTCATGTAAAAATAACATATGAATATGTTAAAGGTAAAGAAGATTATGTTTAATAGACTTTAAATAGAAGACCAAAATTATAGATGTCATGAGTAGGACTATTTTCTTTTAAACAGGCTGTAGGCCATCTACACATATATTATTTATTTAAAACATAAGATTAAAGCTACTTGATTGTTTAAACACCATAATTTGTAATGCAGTTTGATGAGTTTTGTAGTATAATTATTACAGCATGACAATCACAGAGAAAATATGACCTTGAAAAGGGGCCCAGCCTTCTCCCTCTCAAGGAGGATGCGCTCCCCTAGAAAGAAGCCATTGAAAATCCACCATCTTTATGCGCACAATTAAAGGCCTTCCAATTTTAAAATCATCACTGTTTCTATTCTCCAGTTACTACATTATAAGGAAATCAGAGGCCTGGAGTTTCAAATTCCACTGGTAAAGAAACACTGGTTAAAAGAGAGTTTCCAATTTTTACCCATGGCAAACTGGGAAATAGAGTGAGTAGACACGTTTGCTGTAAACAGCTATATTAGAGAACATTTGAAGATAATGTGTTGGAACTAATTTTGAAGGGGATGGTAAGGGGAGAGTAGAAAAGAAGTAGCAACACTTTTGCTCCTATCTCGAAATATGCCACTTTAATTTCTCCGTTTAAATTTAATTACCAGCCTGTGCCAGTAAATCAAAGCAAAACCTGGGGACGTGAGAGAAGTCCCAGCATGCACTGGCATAGTTGTGACATCCAAACACTTTCTACACAGTCCTGAAGCTTATTATGGGATAAACTGACCACAGATCAGCACATGTAGTCCAATCACTAGATGAAGATTTCAAGGCACACGGGCTGCCAAAGGACAAAGCTTAGTTGCCCAGGGATCATATGATTTTAAGAAGTCCTGTATGTGGAGCAAGCCTTGCTCTGGTTATCACCAAATGTAACCAAGAAAAGGGAGGCAGTGCTTCCTTCCTTTCCATTCTCCATTTTAGCAAAATGAATATGACCCCCTCCCTAACTCTACTTAATAAGAACACTGCAAAGCCACAATGCCCAACTTGTTTCAGAATTACAGTCGTCTTGTACAGCTGGCCAAAATAGCTCATTTTTCATTTATAATAGATATTTGAGATTGATGCAGTTATAGACAAAACAATATCATACATCTTCAAAAACAACTGCAACCGTGACACGTATTATCCAAAATGATTCCTTTAATATTTCAAGGAAAAGATCTCTGTAAACGCAAATCTTCAAATAAAATGCATTTGTTTAAATAAATGGTTTTCCATAAGTCTCTTGAAAGTAAAATAATGGTACCGTGGGATTATTAGTACTAAAAATTTGGTAAGTACATTCCAAGGTAAGATGAATGCTTGTCAAAGATGTGTCTTTCTCATGGAAGAATTCAGCACCATTTGGCCAAAGTAGCATTAGTCACTCACCAATCATGTGGAAATAGCTCCACTGAACTGTTCTTTTAAACAAAAGTATAAATGTCGCAATATTGAAGGTTTTCTGCTGTGCAGTATATTTAGAGAAACAGACAAAAACTTGAGATTTATACAGTATGCCCCATTTATTGAAAATCTCAAAATCCTTTTTATTTAAATCAAGTTCGAAATCCGCCTCATAATAATTTTAGCCACCTTATTTACCCAGCGCTTCCCATTTAGCTCCTACACGGCTCAGCCCCGGGTACCACCCAAACTATGGGTGTGGGGTGGGCAGGAGGTGGTTTTTAGGTCTCAGTGCTGGTTTATCCCATTGTCTCCCTTTGTCTCCAGGAATTGGAAACAGACTCGTGGTCATGTTGCTGAGAGGCTCCTAAAATTTTCAGCCGTCCCCTATCCCCCAACACAGCGAAGTCGTAACTTCTAAGACAAGGACCCTAGATTTCGAGCCCCGGGGCAAAGCATCGCATCTGCGATGGGACGCGCGTGCCTTACACTGGCAGCACCTTGAGTCAACTTCCCGCCAAACGAGGGCAGGCTGACCTTTTCGCAAAGTGGTTTCAAATCCTCCAATAAAAACCAAATCCTACCACCTTGGGTGCAAAGGGGGCGTGGGCATGAAACGCCTTGTCTTTTGCGGCTGGTGTACACACGGCAGCTAAATGCATTGCCCACTTATGCATTTTCCACCAAGTGCACAGTCCACTCCTCGTGCATCCACGAAAAAGGCAGCCCAAGGAAAAACAAACCTCAGAGAAATTTTTGAATGAGACCTCACTTTGAAAAGAATAGCATCAAACAAGGGGATAGCACCGAAAGATGCATTTGGCTCCAACTACCAAAAAGCTCCCCCCCCCCGCTCCAAAACTACGAGGTTAGTCGCTGAGTTACTTTCACAGAAATCTCACGATTTTCATTTAAGGGAAAAGTGAAAAAGTGAACAGTGGCAGGAATTTTGCAAACTCGAGCCCCAGCTTCCGCGGCTGCACACTTGCGGGTCCCTCTCGCTGGCGCGTTCCCGCGCGCTCCCTCCCAGGCCCCACGTTACTTTGATTGACAGCCCAGCCCCGCCGCTCTCCTTCCCACCGACCTTCCCATCCACAGTGCCAATCTCCGGGTATCGCCGCTTCCCATTGGCTGGCTTCGGCGTCCCGCGGCTCCTCCAGGAACAGTTCCTCACCGAGCCCGGGAGGACGCGGCTGGCAGGAGGGGTGAGAGGGACGGGAGGGGAGACGGGGGAAACAACGGAGATGGAAGCAAGTGGAGTGGGAGAGGAGGGGGGCGGCCCGTCCAGTGCTGCGCCACCATAGGCTTCGGGGAGGGTCGCGTCAGCACCCCACGTTGGGCACGGCGCATGTGATTGGCTGACGCCGCCTCCTGCTCCCCCTCCTGGCCGCCCGGGCTCACGTAGCCCGCCGGCTCGGTGCTCGCGTCCCCCGCCCGCGCAGGGCTGGGCGGGGCCCGCGCTGGTTAGCTCCGGAGTGTGAAACCGCGTGTTAATGTAACCGGCGCGAGAGGCGCGGGCGGCGGCGGCGGCGGCAGGAGCGGCAGGAGCGGCGATTGCAGGAGCTGCAGCAGCGTCGGCGGGTTGCCTGTGCCCCGCGCCCCGCGTCCCTGAGGCAGCCGGTTGCATCACCCCCTCCCTTTCACGGCCGGGCGGGATCCGCGCCACCAACCCGGACCTTCGTCGGCCCGCGGCGACTTAATCCCCGTCGGCTGCGGCTGCCGCGACTACTCCAGACTCGCCCGCGGAGTTTGCCGGCGGGGAAGGGAGGCCGAACGGCGGAGCGCACTCCTGTTCTTGCCACCGTCTCGTGGATGTCGTACCCCGGGTCGTGAGAGAACTTTGCAGCGGGCTGGAGCGCCCTTTACGTAGAGGCATACGAAGGGAAGGAAAGAAAGGACCCAGGAAGGGTACGAAGCGCCCGGACGGGTCGTGTGGGGCGAGTGGTCAGCAGGCGCGGCTTCTGGATGCGCCTCGAGGAGCAGCGGGCGACTGCGGGACTGCCCTTCGTGGAGTAGCCCCGTCGGGCCTGGAGGGTTTGTGCAACCGCGGAGAACATCGAGTGCCGGGCGTACGGGGTGTGCCGAGCAGCCTCTTGGCGTGCCCTCCGCACTTTCCCAGCCTCGCCGTCATTCCGCGCTTCTCGGTCAGGGTTGAGCCTGCGGGGCGCCGGGAGCGGAGCCTACACCGCGGCCCGGACCTCGCTCCCCGCCGCTTTCCAAGGGCCCGCGAGTGCCCGGCAAAGGTGCTGCCCGGACCCGCGAGGGTCGGCTCCGGAACGTCACCAGATTGGTTTGTGTAGGGTTAGCCGGCAGCGCGGTGCCACCTGCATCTCGCCCGCCGCTGGCGCCGCGCGGAAAACCCGGAGAGGAGGCGGACCGGGAGAAGAGCAAAGGAAGGCAGTCCGCCTGGATTTGTTTGCCCGGGACGGTTGCCGAGCACGCGGATCGCCTACTGGAGTGGGCCGGAGTCACCGTTCCCCCACCTCCTCGCCCAGGCGGCCAAGGCCTGTGGGTTGGAGAACAGCGCGGCGTCGCGGAGGTTCTTGGTGCAGCCGGGCCCGGGGTGCCCCGCGATGTGGCCCTGAACGCGGGAGCCCACACTGGCGGGAGCAGAAGCAGCCGGGCGCGGAGTGGCCCGTGCGCCCCGCCGAGCGCGCCTGCGTGCGTGGCCAGCGGGCCCCCTGTGCGTCCCGCTTCTGCTGGGCTTCCTGGCTTAATTTTTCTCGGCGGGATTAAAGTTGGAAATTGAGCGGAGAATTGAGTTGCCGGGGAACAGAGCCGCGGCGGCCGCCAGAGCGATGTTCCCGCAGAGCCGGCACCCGGTGAGGCGCGGCTGGCCTGGGGGACAGGGCTGAGGGCGGGGGTGGGGAATGGTGAGGCACTCTTCCGTGCTGTAGGGAGGCGGGTGGCTGCTGCACTCTGACGGACCCTCTCGTCTAAGGGGCAGCAAGGTTGGCGGGGTCCCTAGTCCTACTCTCCTGAGGTGGGTAGTGAGCTGAAACTCCCAACCCCCCCCCACCTTTTTTCTGGGCCCCCTCCTACTTGACGTCTAGACAAGGTGGCGGGGGCGCCGGGAGAGGCCGGGGTTTCGCTCCCGCAGCCACATCCTCCCCCTTCCCCGGGGCGGGTAGGGCGCACCCCCCTCCCCCTTTGTTTCTAGTTTCACCTATTTGCATGTCAATGCGGCCCCCGTTCCGGCGCGCTTAAGGTGGCCCTGGCGACTCTGGGAACGAGGAGCGTTAGGGATTTGTTTTTCTCCTCTGGTTCTCGGGGTCATTATCGCCCCCGTGGGGGAGGGTACGGCGATGACGACAATCTGGCCTGGTCCTCCCGGACCGCCGGGGAGCCCCTTTCCCTCCAGCCCGGTGATCCGGGAAAGACTGAAAGACGCTCAGAGCCTCTAGAAGCCTGGGGTCGAAGTAGTGTCCACTTTCCCCCTCCCCAAAGTGAAGCGCAAACTCGAGTTCGGAACTCCGTTTTCCGCCACTTCTAACTTTATGTTTTGTTTATGTTCCACCCACCTCTCTGTCCTCTGCTTTATCCACCCGCCCGAATCTCCGTCCCACGGTCCCCTTCGCTGGTCGCCCCCCAGACGCCGCACCAGGCTGCAGGCCAGCCTTTCAAATTCACTATTCCGGAGTCTTTGGACCGCATTAAAGAGGAATTCCAGTTCCTGCAGGCGCAGTATCACAGGTGCGTGTCGGGCCTCGCCGGGCGACTGGTGGCCGGGGCAGCCCTGTGCCCCACGTCGCCCAGCCCCTTGGCGGCGGCGGCTGTACTTAGTACTGGCGTCCAGGCGGTGGCGTGTGGAGTCGCAGTTAAAAGCTGTCCTTCACGCTACCCCCTTTCCTGGCTCTTCCCGGGCCGCCTCTTGTCTCCTCCTCCTCCCATTGTTTCCCTTCTGCCGGTTTGCTGCTGTTCCAGGGAGTCTATTTTCGTGTATTTAGGAGTTACATGAGAACCGTCAGTCTTTGCACTTCATTTATTTATTTTGCGACAAACAGGCTGAGCTAAAACCTTGGTTCAGTCGATGCCCCAGCCTGGAGTGTCGGTTGAGGGAGGCAAAGCCAGTGTTGAAATCGCTGTTTGCTATGCTAGAGAATAGGGTTGTCTGAGGCAAAGTCCATTCTGGAACGCTAGATGCGTTTAGGCTGTGCCCATCATTGGTGGTCATGAGGGGGGTGCTGCATGTGTATAAGAGAAAGCTCACCTGCCTTGGCGTCATTCTGGGTGGATCTGGGTAGGACAGGGGATTGGAATCACATTTATATCCATCTCAGCTTTAGTCTGTTCATTTAATAAGACCTACTTCAAAAGATTTGTAAATAAAAACTATTTGTAAAGCACCCTGTCCGTAGTGGACTTTCCAGAAATGTGTTTCTCATTCCTATGAAGTCTTAGCTGATTAGAGCTAAGAAATAACTGTAATGACAGTTTTTATTTTTGTCACACTTGCGAAAAAACACAAATGCTGGGGTGTGGATTTTCTTAGTTTGTCAAGAGGCTTTCTGATTATTGACCTTTTGTCTACTTGAAGATAATAATCTCAAGAGCTTGAGGCATACCTGCCCACACAGTGTTTACCAAGCAGGAAAGACTTCAGCCTACTTCACTGCAGTAGCTGCTTGACATATTTTGGCAGGGATTTGGAAACCAAAGGTTTTAAAAGGGACCAACAATTGTAGAAGTAACTTGACAGGTACAGTTTTCAAACCTAGAGAATGTTTGAATTGGCAAAGGTAGTATAGCCTTCGCCTGAGACTGAAGATTGTGCAAAGACCAGATGTTATAAAGGTGGAGTCCAGAGAAGCAAACTTTGATTCAGGGAATTAGGACGGAACAGATGACCACCAGAAAGAATCAGTCTTCTGGGTAGATCAGAGGTTTTGACAGATTTTTAATTCTTGGCGTCTGACCAGTATGCACCAAGAAGAAAAAGAATAGTAGCTGAATGGATACCCTGTAATGTTCACCTTATTTCTTTCCCCTGTTAAATGCAGGGACAAAGCTTTTGGGTGTTTACCTAGATAGTTTATGGCTTTTCCAAATTGGTCTGTTTTTACTTGAAGTGCAAATATGTGAGGCAGATGTTAAAACAAGTGACATAATGTTTACATTAAGTTGCCTGTTTTGTTTTTGTAGCCTTAAATTGGAATGTGAGAAACTGGCAAGTGAAAAGACAGAAATGCAGAGGCACTATGTGATGGTAGGTATCAATTAGACTTTTTTCCTTTTCATGTAATATGAGCAAATATATGTTCTTAGCATCATAAAACATGAATTAATGAAATGATTGGTTCTTTTTTCTTTTTACAGTATTATGAAATGTCATATGGATTAAACATAGAAATGCATAAACAGGTAAGCTTTAGTTAAATCTTAAGCTGAAATGAGAAATTAGTCATGATTTTTTTCAATAGTGGCTTTGTCTTCTTGTGGGGGGTTTGTGTGCTATTTTTCTGCCTTGGCTTCCCTTCCTGCAAATTGGTGGTACTGCTTTGGAGCAAGGATTGCTTCTTGACAGTTACAAAATGTTTAAATGACTGGGTGAGAGGTGCTTTGAACATGTAAACTAGCTTGTTTATAGGCCAATAGGAACTGACTCTGAATTTACTTTTCCACCTGGATAGATAAATTCTCCTCTTGAGAGATCCGAGTATGTATTCTGTAGAGTTGCTGAAGTTGAGAATAGTTAATGTTTTTGTTCTGGTTTGGAAAGAAGTATGGACCTGTGAGACACTTGTGTTTAAAAGAGGTTAAACAAGGTGTATGACTAACTATGGGATTTTCTTTATGCTTTGGGGCTGCATAAAGTGATACTCAAGATTAGTGGCTTATTAGCACACATCTTTTTGAAAAATTTCTCAGTTGATCCAGATTTGGAGGTTAAAAAAAAAGTGTTCTTTTATGGTCACAACATATGTTGGGAGTTGCTTCAGTCCTAGTGGTTTTAAAAGCATGAAAAGATTAGTGAGTGGAAAGCTCTAGCTATGACTATGAGTTTGCAAGTTCCCATAAAATTCACACTTATGGCTACTATAATGGTGTATAAAAAGAGTATTGAGCTGGAACAAGGCACTAAGGACCTCATAAGGGAAGAAAAGCTAAATGATTGCTCAGCCCAAAGGACCCTCGATTGAGTAGTCATTGTCTGCCAAAGAAAGCATTAATGGCAGGGTGTAAGTATTCTGGAGATATGCTGACATTCACTTTTTCATCAAGACGCTGGTACAATAAGTCTTTTAGAAATCGATTGCCTCTTAAAAAATTATCATCAGATGAAGTTGCACAGTTGGACACATTTCAAAGTGCAACAATACAATTCTTACTTGATGTATATGTGCTATTTCATCTCAAACCCTTGTTTCATTAAATTAAAGAGCATGGCTGACTGGCTGGGGCACAGTGGAGAAATTGATTAGTTCAGCCTTCAGATCTTCCTTATATTCAAAGACTTTCATTAAGCAAGTGTGTTTCAGAGTTGAATTCCGCTTTTGTAATTCTGCATGCACTCTTTGATTTTTAATTCATCATAGATTTCATAACGTTAAGTTATCATCCTGTACATTAGATCTGTTCTCAGATATGTGTTTGGAAAGAGAGTGAAGTTCAGGTCCTTTCATTAATAATGTAGTTGGG